ATCACAGGTTTTTCACAAACACTGTATCACTCCGCTGAGACGGTGTTGCTAAGCAACGACTTTGACAGCTGTAGGAGACGCTGGAGCCATTTGAACGTTTTTACTTCTCACTTTGCCACAAACAGAAAATGGACACTTTTAAGATCACATTTGACCGACAGCCGATTTGGTCAGACTCTGAAGATGAGACGACACTAAATTCCCAAACTGTCATCACCACTGAGCAGCTTTTCAGTCGGCAGCTGTGACAGAAGAACAGCTGAACAACCTGGAATCAGCCAGAAATGAACACCATTCGCCAAACTAAATGGGCTGTAAGATTCTTTACAGACTGGCTGGAACAAAACAACATTAATACTGATCTGGGAAAAACTGACAAAACTGAGCTAAACTTGATATTGCGGCAGTTTTATGGCTCAGTCCGATTTGGTCAGACTCTGAAGATCAGACTACACGTTTGGCGAATGGTGTTGGGTTCATTTCTGGCTGATTCCAGGTTGTTTAGCTGTTCTTCTGTCACAGCTGCCAACTGAAAAGCTGCTCAGTGGTGATGACAGTTTGGGAATTTAGTGTAAGGAGCTGGAGAACGAACTGCTCACTGTGCAGCGAGTGGGCGGAGCTCGTTACTCTGACGTAGCAACAAGCTGCTCGTTAAGGAACTATAATTTGGCGAAGGAACTGCGAACATTAAAACATATTAAACGCCGCGTTCACGACCCAGTTTATTAATTTCTTACTTTATTTTTTTAACTGTTGTATAAAAGCAATAAAACACTCGAGGTTGTGTGTCATCACAACCAAATCACAGCCATGATGTTATTTCGCGATAACACACTCCCTCTCGTGTTCTGTTGCTTAAGTGTGTGCGGGTCTTTTGGAGTTGAGGAATCTGATGGCTTGTGGAAAGAAACTGCTGCCCAGTCTGGCTGTGAGGGCCCGAATGCTGCGATACCTTCTTCCAGCTGGCAGAAGAGAGAGCAGTTCGTGTGAGGGGTGTGTAGGGTCAGTCACGATGCTAGTGGCTTTTCGGATGCAGCGTGTGGTGTAAATGTCCGTGATGGAGGGAAGAGAGACCCCAGTGATCTTTTCAGTTGTCCTCATGTCGGGACCAGGGGCTATCCCCTTCAACCCCAGGCCTCCAGCATAATATTATGAATAAAATGAAATCTTTTAATACCAGCTAAACACACTAATAACTGTTCTAATCTCTGAAAAGATGTCAAAAAGGAACGAGTCTTCTTTGTGGAAAGAGGGAAAAGGCTTCTTCCTTATTTCAGCATCAGGTGGTACAGAGTCTCGAGAGACCCCAACTGACTTCTTCCCCCCCGCCTTACTTCTCAAATTTTGATATTAGCTCATTCTCTAATAGGTGCATCTCTTCGTCCATCACTTTGGTCGTTGCACGTTGCGCTCACTCCTAAAAACTGGTTTCAACTGGTTGTCTGCTTTACCTTTCAAGGTCAACTTGCCCCTCTCTTCACTGGGTTAGTAAGTACACACAGGCCCCTCTGTGAACCCAGGGGCTTTCCAGTGTCTAGAACCTCCTATGCAGACAGACTAAGGCCCACCCTTGGTGAGAGAATTAGTATTCTCTGTCAGCCAGTACTTCCGATTTGGTTATTAATCACAATATCTAATCTATTTGGTTACTGATCAAGGGAGTATTTATTCAAAATCTCTGCCACTCACTATTCGCTGGAGGGTCACGCGGTCAGAGGCGGTACGATTCCCAAACCAGGCAGTGATGCAGCGGCTCAGGGCGCTCTGTAGAGGGTGGTAAGAATGGTGGGTGGGAGAAGAGTTTCCCGCAGGAAATAGAGACGTTGCTGGGCGTTCTTGGTTATGAAGCTGGTGTTCAGGGTCCAAGTGAGGTTCTCCGCTAAGAACTTGGTGCTCGCAATGATCTCCACAGGGGAGTGGTTGATGGCGAGCAGAGAGTGGTCACTCTGTGCTCATATTTGTATGCATATTCATGCATTAAATGGTGGTAAATTATGAAATGTAAATGTTGTTGGCTGAAGGGGCTTTAGAGGTGTAGTATAAGACATTTGTGGCTGTTGTTGTTGTTGTTTGTTGGTTTAAGGTGTGTAAGTGCTGTTTGTGTTATGTCATGTTGGTCTGTGGTGAGAAAATGTAAGGCTAGAAGTGACCTGCCTGCTAAAAGAGCACTTCTTGTGGCAGAAATGAGGCTCTCTTCTGCACCTGCTTCTACACCAACGCCACAGTATTATTGTTTTTTAAGGGTTATTTTGAGAATGAGTGTTCTAGACAGAGACTGCAGAGACTGTGGCCTGTTTCTGTTGGTGCACTGCTGACACAGTGTGAACGGCAGTTCAAATTATGCCAAGAAATGTGAAATTTTATTCATTATTCTTTGTTTTTTAATCAGGTGCTTGTGACAGTTCTCCATAAATTGAAGCATCTTTTAAAATGTTCCAAATAAAAGCTGCTCACTGCTCATGGTGGAGCTGATCTAGCCTCCAAATGTGTGATGACCAGCCCCTCATCACTGGTGCGGTAAGCTGTCGTAAGCCTGACGTTAAAGTGCTGTGATTGATGTAACCCGTCTCTTCTATCTCTGCTTTTTTCGGTGTTTAATTGTAGAGTTTGTGGTTTGAGCTCTCACTTTTGTCCCCCCCCCCCACTAACTGGTCCTCAGGGGCCTGTGTGGGTGTGTGTGTGTGTAGGACGGGTGTGGTGTCTCAGGCTGCAGTGTGTGTGGCCTTGAGAGAAAGGGGTGTGCAATGCGCTCAGAGAGGGAAGATGCTCTGTAAATAGACCAAAGATACTGACGTTAGGTGGGGACTTTTCAAACACTGCTACTTCTGTGGCGGATGATGCAGCAACTTCCTGTTTATCTTACCCTGAACCTTCCTCTTCTTCTGTCTCTCTCTTTCTCTTTCTCTCTCTCTCTCTCTCTCTCTCTCTCTCTCTCTTTCTCTCTCTCTCTTCTGCCCTTTTCCTCTAAACTCACAGGCTGCAAAGTGAATTTTGAACTACAGAAGAGTCCGGATGCTCGATCACTGCCGCTGGGTGGTAATCTCTCCGGTTGCCGCCCGACTTTCTCTCCTTCAGTCATCTCTCCATCCTCCACACCCCGCTCTCTCCGTGCTCTGGCTCATGCTGCTTGCTCTCGGCCTGCTTTGGCATTGCACTGTCCGTGCTGACCCTTTGACCTTTGATGAGGCTACTTCAGGACTGTTTAACTGTTCTGTAACCAGGGCTGTTCTACACTCTTAAAAATTATAGCTCTTCAAGGGTTCTTTAGTAAAGACAATGGTTCTACAAAGAACCCTCTGCATGATTAAAGGGTTCTTTGCATGGTGAAATGGTTCTTCAGATTGATGGAGAATGTGTGGACTATTGATCCTATTTGTAAAGAGTTTCTATATAGCACCAAAAAGGGTTCTGATATTGTTACGATACAAGCTTGTTACAATAGAAGAACCCTTTTTGGTGCTATATAGCAAAAAGGTTCTATATAGAACCATCTAGAGCACTTTTTTATCAACTTCTCTCCTTTAACAAAGTGATTTCTCAACGCTGTAGAAAGCCAGCATTTCGACTTTTAACCCTCTATTGCATGAATTATTACAAAAATATTAGAAAAATATAATATATATATAAAAATATTTGAATGTGTTTTTGTTATTTATAATTTCTTAAGTAATGGAAATATTTTTAAAAAATATATTTATTTACTTTAAAGAGGGGTATTTGGTAAATTGTCGCCATATGGAAACAATGCGCAATCGTACCACAACACCATAAAATCTAAAAAAAAGCACTGTAAAATCAAATTTTTCTCTAAAAACATTTATTTTATTCAAAACAAGACTAAACAAATACAACATATACTTAGTGAAATGTAGTGACCCAATATTTACACACGGAAAATTAATACAGTTTCAGTTGGTATTTGGAATGTATGGTAATAAAATCATAATAAGCTTTCCTGGTCATGTGATGTCATAAAATATTTGTCCTTTCAAAATAAAAGACTCTCTTTCCACAATTAAATAGTAAAACACAGATTTTCTCTTACTGCCTTTTAGTAAAATTGAGATAGCGTAATTGTTGCCATGTGGCAACATCATCCAATAGAGGGTTAGTTGATTTGTCACTACCATTTTCACTACACAAACCAGTAGGGACCAATATCCAAACAAATCCATTTGTGACAATTTTGGATATAACAATGAGTTTTTGAAAAATGTCACAGCTGAAATATAATGGAAAAGGCATTTTTATTTCTCTAATGAAGGTGGTTTTAATCGTAATATAGCTCTAATATTTCCTATATGTGTAAACATTTCAAACAATGCATGTCATGAAAAAAAGAATGCTTTTAAAAGTGGTCTGTTACAGATTTTGGAACAAAACTGATGAAACTCTGATGAACTCTGATGAAACGAATCGTAAACATTTCCACAAAGACATGAATTGCATTCTGAATGTGTCTCACAAACAGTGCATCCAACAATAAAGGCAGCCTGGAGCTTCTTTTAGACAGTGATAGGAAACATAGTAGCTCACTGAAAGCTCCAGTTCCACATTTTACTGACCAACATGCACCAACTACTCTGGGGCCAGATTTTAATCAGTTAAAGGTGACAAGCACAAAGACTGAATGGGTTGCTGGTTTCATGGGGTTCAATGGAGTATTTAAAACTAGCCCTTTATGGTTATGTAATGTCTGTGTGTTAGAATAGAACAATCTCAGCCAGTCTGAACAGGCAGGGTTGAGCAGGAAGCTGCCGGGGTCAGCCTGTTTCCTACCAGGCCGCCGCTCTGTGAGTCGCTGTGGAGGCTGCGTTCGCTGTACAAAAATATCGACGGTTAACACGCTGGTTTGCTGCTGTGCTCGCTGGACGTGTTGCACACACTGAGAGAGCGAGACAGTGGCGAAGCTTGCGATGCGGTACTTAAACACTTTCTAAGCTCATTTTTGCACCTTTTTTTGCCTGTTTTCTCGTGGGTACCTGTCGGATTTCCATCAGCGAGGTCCAAAAGCGTGGTGCCGGGGGACGGGGTCCCGGGGTCCGGCCGGGCTGACGTCAGGAGACCCATGGAGAAGCCTCTGAAGAAAGGCTGGCTGAAGAAGCAGAGGTCAATCGTGAAGAACTGGAAAATGTGCTACTTCGTGCTGAGAGGGAACACCCTGACTTACCACAAAGATGACCGAGAGAGCGCCATACAGGTATGAGCAGAGAGCGAGAGAGGTAGCGTTAGCAGTTAAAGGGGATTTCCACCGATCTTTCAAAAGTTCTGCATAAGTAGATGGTTAAGTCAGAGTGATTTGATGAGAAATACTTCAGGCTAGTGAAAGTTATTGAGTCAGAATTGTTCACAGTGGTGGTGATAGGAACCAGACGTCTGAGGAGTTCAATGCCTCTAGACATAAAGGTTCTGTGCAGGTACATTTTTCGTTCATCAAGGTACAAACAATGTAAATGTTCCCTCAAAGGTGCAACAGTGGTTTTAAGGTCTGATTGTGAACCTTAAATAAGTTTTCCCAGGTGAAAAGTTCGTATTTGTACCTTTTCATAACCGAATGTTTTAAAACAGAACAGTAAAATAAAAGCCTGGACACGAGACGGGGTGTGTGGAGTCAGTACAGCTTAGAACATATCATTTCAGTGGATTATAGTACAGTTATGTTCCCTGACTAAAGGTACTGAGATGTAACTTTGAGGGTCCCACCCCAGTGACAGTTTAGTACCTTTATTTCTGAGAGTGTAAAAGCTCCCTCGCAGAAAGGAAATAGCATGAAATGGTTATGAATACACTGCTGAGACATTGTTTTAATGCTGAAGGGGTACATGCAGGGCATTATAAGGCAAAACAGCCCCCAGAGAAAACTTTTTTTTCAGATTTATCACTTTTTTAGATAATAAAATGGCCCCTGGTTCTTATACAATGAACCATTTCACACCAAACTACGGTTTGTTTACAATCCAAGCCACTGAATAATGCACAGGTCGGTGGGATATATAATCAGAAGATGTATGTGATGTACAGTATAAACCACATTTAAACGGCTATTTCTCTTTTTCTCATATCGTGTAAAGAAGGGTGCCAGACTGGAGAGAGAGGTGTAATTTTAGCTATCTGGGCAGACGTGCACCACTCAAGCAAGACTCCTTCTTAATGTCTGTCTTTGTTTGCTATGCAAATACTTATAATCACACCACATTGAGCTACTTGGAAGTTTCAGATTTAACAGCGTGTATTCACACTATAGTTTCTCGTCGTTATGGACAAGCGTACAAAAAATATATAAAAATACATAAAAAATATGTTACGTTTGTTCTCTACTACAATGTAGGATGAGTGGTAAACATCTGACATACACCACTTTAAAACTACACTACAAAAAAAAAAATCTTGGCAAGTGAAATCCTTGTAAATCTAGTCAAAATAACTAATATTATTTAACTCATTATTTTTAAGTTTTTGGTCATTTGTAGTGAAATTGTTTAATTCTATTAATTCTATCTAGGTAATTTAAACGCTTGAAACGTAAAACATCGAGAAATAGGTTGAATAATCTTGTAATGCCATAACAACTTATTCTCATAATGAGAAATTAGATCAGGTCTGCAGAACTGCAGCCCTGGAGGGTCAGCGTCCAGCACAGTTTGGTAGTTTCCTTATTCAAACACACCTACTAAACCTGGCGATTAACAGATGAGTGTAATCAGACATGTCTGAGCAAGTTAATCACTAAACTGTGCAGGACACCGATCCTCCAGGACCCGTATTAGATATATTGACTAGATTTAAGGTGGTTTTACTTTCAAAGATATAATGTTTTGATGTGTTTCAATAGAGGAACATTGGCAATGTAACAACAAACAGAAGATGAATAATACAAAAACAGTACAACAAACGAACATTAGTTCACAAATGAAGTTAAAAACGATGAGGCTGAACAAAAGTGTGTTAATTTTACAGTCCATTCATAGAGGTTAGCTTTTCTCTACACTGTCACTGTACAGGGATCCTAGCTATTTCCAGCTATTTCCTACCTGTTTCCCAAAACATTAAAATCCTGTATTTAATTTAAAATAGTACAAAGACAAATGTCAAATGTTGAAACTGAGAAATGTTATTGTTTTTTGAAAAACATATGGCCATTTTGAATTTAGTGCCAGCAACACAAGAAAGTTGGGACAGGGCAACAAAAACCTGGTAAAGTTGTGTAATGCTAAAAAAAAATCCTGGTGGTTATTTGAGAACAGGTCACTAACATGACTGGATATGAAAGGAGTCTTTCAGAAGTAAAGATGAGGAGGGGTTCACCACTCTGTGAAAGACTGCGCAAATAGTGCAACAATTCAAGAATAATGTTTCTCAACATAAAACAGCAAAGAACATGGAAATTTCATCATATATGGTAATAATATCATTCAAATATTCAGACAATCCACAGAAATCTCTGTATGCAAGGGACATGGTCCAAAACCAGTATTTGCTTGACGAGATCTTTGGGTGCTCAGACGGCACTACATTAAACACAGACATGATTCTGTAGTGGAAATCACTGCGTGGGCTCAGAAACACTTCTGAAAACCACTGTCTTTGAACACCATTCATCGCTGCATCCACAAATGCAAGTTAAAACTCTGATAAAACCATGCAAACAGGAAACCATATACAAACAGGATCCAGAAACGCCGCCGCCTTCTCTGGGCCTGAGCTCATTTAAAGCTCATTAAAGCAAAATGGAAAAGTTTCCTTTGCTCCAACGAATCGAACTTTTAAATTCTTAATGGAAATTTTGTAAACTACATCCTCCAGACTAAAGACCATCCGGCTTGTTATCAGCACACATTTGTGATGGTATGGGAGTGCATTACTGCACATGGCATGGGTGACTGCACATTTGTGAAGGCACCATTATTGCTGACTGATGTATACAGGTTTTGAAGCAACATATGCTGCCATCCAGACGACGTCTTTTTCAACAATACCAAACCACATTCTATACGTATTACAGCGTTATGGCTCTGTGGTAAAAGCAGATGGCTAAGATGGCTAAACTGGCCAGCCTGCAATCCTGTCACCCTACCTTTTCTGGAAATGGGGTTGTACTTCATAAATTAAATTCTGATGTTGTAGATAAGCACCTAAACTGCTATCCTTTATATGTCCGTAGAAGAGGCGGCAAGCAACCTAGTAGCAAACTAGCAAGGCATGTTTACCAGCTAAATTAGCAGATAGCCAGCATCATGTATTCAAGCCAGGCCTCAAGTACCCTAAACTTCCTAAACTTCATTGGTCAAAACGTTTCAATTCTATTCAAACTACAAGATAAAGCTAGCTAGCAAATTTACAAAAGAAGTTTTTCCTATATACTATCATTTGCTGTGTATTAAAATTATTCGATATTTTGTTCATCTAATTTATGACTTTTATTCCCTTTGGTTTGAGGGGCCTTAATCAGAGAGCTGAGACCCCCCCAGATGCCCCCTGTAATTTACACCCTGAGTGCATGTAATGCAGTGTCCTAGTATTTCCCTCTTCTGGTCCAGTTCAACCCACATAATTCAACCAGCCAGCTCATTACCAAACTCTTCATGGTGGTAGCCTCTCTCTGAAGGCACCCTAGTGGCCATTCCACCAGCCCACTGGAAATCGACCATTGGATATTTTTATTCAGTATAATCAAATTAAATATTTTTTTTTCCTGTAACCCATCAGATTAACTTGGACACTGTTGGCGTTTGAAACACAAGCAATGAGGGCAAAGTGTTGGGTGGCGCAACTGCAGTTTTCTTGACGTCAAAATCAGTTAAACACAATAAAAGCATGTTTACAAATGTTTAACATTTTGGGAAAAATATCTAATTACGGTTCCCCTGACTCATATTAAAGCCTAAGACAGCACTATTGATAGAATATGAAAATTAAAGCCCTTGAGATGTATATTTGGTGCAACTTAATTCAGAAGAATGCTTTTTTCAAATTTACTTTCTGATCTGTTTCTAGGGAACAATACCGCTGTGGGCAAGTCAAGTGAACGAACTGCCATCAAACGCAGATGACAGATTCATCTTCGAGATCATCCCACGTAAGGGTTTTTTTGTTCCTCCCCCCACTTCCTGAACTAGATCTATTGTAGGCCTTTGACCTGATTTGGCTGGTCTTTTAATCTTTTATGGACACTGCTACTGCCCTGGTTTTCGAATCTGCACATTGTACTGTTTTAAACTTCTCAAATGTGTGAAGTATCCACTATCTGAACTGTCCACTATCATGCCTGAGTTAAAACATGTGTTGGGAGTGTTGTTAGGCACGATGCAAAGAGGAGTAAAATCACTGGAACACAGGGCCTCGAGTGGCTTACTGCTTTTATAAAATCACAACAAAAAACAATACGATATAGTACACCATTGTTCAATATGTCATTATATGTCAATATGTCATTAATTAATTTGTTAATAATAATCACAACAATCAGTTCCTCTGCCAAATTTGGTAACTGTTGGCTATAGTTGCCAAGCAATGCAACGGTCAAAGATTATTTCATGAACGGCACAATAGATTTTAATAGCTTGGTAGATTCAATTGATGTGTGCAGTCATATGTGTATACATTAAGTACTTTGAATGTGACTCATCCAGCTAGATTTTAAGAACCCCAGAATTGTTTTTTTTATAAACTATTTAACACTCATAGTGTATCACCGATGGTCACCAACTCTAATCCTTGAGATCTACTGTCCTGCAGAGCAGATTGCTTGTATAGATGAAGAAAAACTGTTCTATAAGCCCCCAAAATGCATGAAAACATCAATACAGGTCAATTCAAACATAACACTAAGTAATACATCATTTAATGAATATAACATCAGTATTGAGCTTCTGGACACGTTATCCAAAAATTTTCACTAGACGGCAAACACAAAGTTGCTAATGGCACTGCCAGTCTTTTAAACTAATAAGTTTTTAGCACTGCTGCAAAGAACTAAAAGCTCTTTACGTAATGATAAAGAAATAAATAAGGAAATCATAAACAATTATAATAAAATAATTAAGTTAATGTATTAAGTTAAATTAATTATTTCCACTAATTGCAGATTTGTGTGTGTATCTTATTTTCATTACTTGCATGCACTAACTTACAGAGCCCTGCTGGTGACATCCCATATAATAAAAAAGCCACACTGTATTAATGTGTGGGAACAAGATCCTAAGGCGAGGCCATCCTAAGGAGTTTTTAAACACTGTGTCCACTCACTGTCCACTCTATTAGACACTCCTACCTTGTCGGTCCACCTTGTAGGTGTAAAGTCAGAGACGATAGCTCATCTGCTGCTGCACAGTTTGTGTTGGTCATCCTCTAGTCCTTCATCAGTGGTCACAGGACGCTGCCCAGAGGACACTGTTGGCTGGATATTTTTGGTTGGTGGACTATTCTCAGTCCGGCAGTGACACCGAGGTGTTTAAAAACTCCAGCAGCACTGCTGTGTCTGATCCACTCAGACCAGCACAACACACACTAACACACCACCACCACGTCAGTGTTACTGCAGTGCTGAGAATGATCCACCACCCAAATAGTACCTGCTCTGTGAGGGTCCATGGGGGTCCTGACCACTGAAGAACAGGGTAAAAGGGGGCTAACAAAGTATGCAGAGAAACAGATGGACTACAGTCTGTAACTGTAGAACTACAAAGTGCACCTATATAGTAAGTGGAGCTGATAAAATGGACAATGAGCATAGAAACAAGGAGGTGGTCATAATGTTGTGCCTGATTGGTGTATGTTTTATATTATGCACTCAGTCGTGTCTGTATTGTATATATAGGGAGTAACGGAGACCGTGAGCGTGATGGCTGCGTTCTCATGGCGACCAGCCAGAGTGAGATGGAGGAGTGGGTCCGCTTGATCCGCCGAGCCATCGGAGCACCGAGTAGTGGAGGTATTGCCCACTGCACAAACACGACACACACTAAGAGCAGAACCCCAGCCAGTCTACACTTGTGTTCAAGTCATATCAGTTCACTTTTAGTCCTGTAGACACACATTGCCCCAAATCAGCTTTTGCAAAAATGTAGAAAAACTCCCCAAGAGCATGATGAGGAACCTCTGAGAGGAGCCAAGACACAAAAGGAGAAATTCTCTGGGAGCATGACGAAGAACCACTGAGAGGAACCAGTCCTTAAAATGTAAAACTCCTTAAGAACATAGAGAAGAACCACTGAGAGGAGCCAAGGCTGTGTTCTAAATAGCATACTGTGTACTGCATCAGAAAGTACTGTATACTGCGTGCTATTCTTCATAGTAGTGTACAGTATGGTATCCAATATACAGAGATCTTGTGCTGTACTACAGGGCAGGGGTCCGACTAGCCTGCCAACATCAGGACTGAGCCAATCAGACTATCTCGAGACCCGCCCCATTTTCCTCAGCACTACAGTCACTGCTTAGCAACCGTTGCTAGCCGCTTTTCAGGGTGTACGTTTGTATTTTGGTTAAGAGATGGGCCTGTGTGACTTATACCCCATACAATGACCGAGGGCAGGACGTTGTTTTCCACCCGTCTCTTCACAGTTTCCAAACACACTGTTGCACTCATAGTTGGTAATATGAGCCAGTTTGACTGAATAATGAGCAGCATGACTCCACACAGGAGGCTGAAAAGCCGATGCTGAGTGGATTGTTTAGTTGAGAACACTTTTAGTAAGGTACTGTTTTAACTCCATTATCGATGCAGGAAGTTAACTTTATTAAAAAGACAAAATAAGCAAACCCACCTCCAGACCAGCAGAGAAAACTGATGGGGCTTCACCGTGCGAGTGCAGTTGTATTTGGACAAATTTCTGACATTTTGCCGTTATTAATGTTTTGAAATCAAAGTCTGTGAAAAATATCCAGGCGGTTACATCCGTGGTTACGTCCTCCTGAAATGGCCGTGTTGTATTTTTGGATGCAGTGTATCATGGAGATAGCTCTGCCCACATACTGGACATCATCTGGGTATCTTTGGCGAGCTGGGGAAATTCATGTTTGTCACATACTCATACTGCGTACTACTTTTGCATGAGCAGTATGTAGGAGGCTATTTTGAACACAACGCATAATTCAAGAAGAGAAACTCCCTAAAAGCGTGAGGAAGACACACTGAGAAGAATTAAGACCCAAAGGAAAAACTATATGAGAGCATGAGGAAAAACCACCGAGAGGAACCAAGGAGAAACTCCCTTGGAGCAGGAGGAAGAACCACTGAATGGTCAAAATTCAAAAGTCATGGTTATATAAACAGCTTATCGATTTGGGTAATCAAGCTAATTATTATGTTTAAGTGAATTTCTTTCTGCATGCATTGTGCATAGATTCCTATTTTACAGAAGATAATCCACAGATTATAATAGATTGAGACTGTTTGAGACAGTCCAACTAATAACTGGCCAGTGGTGGTCCTATAGTGGTCTCTTTTCATTGATGAATGAAGTAGAGTGGGCTGGTAAGCTGTGCGGCAACTCTCCGAGGGCTGCAATCGGTATATTTATAAACCAACAAAGTGCAAATATGTGGTGCACTCTCGGAAATTAAGGTAGTAAACTGTCACTGGGGCCCTCTTGTACCCTTGAGGTACCACCCTCTTGTCACTGGGGTGGTACCTCAAGGGTTCGTCTCAGTACCTTTAGTCAGGGAACATAACTGAACCATAATCCACTGAAATGATATGTTCTAAGCTGTACTGACTCCACACACCCCGTCTCATCTCCAGGCTTTTATTTTACTGTTCTGTTTTAAAACATTCGGTTATGAAAAGATACAAATACGAACTTTTCACCTGGAAAAACTTATTTAAGGTTCACAACTGGACCTTAAAACCACTGTTGTACCTTTGAGGGAACATTTACACTGTTTGTACCTTGATAAATAAAAAATGTACCTGCACAGAACCTTTATTTCTAACAGTGTAGGTGTTATGATAAAATGTCCAGAGTGTTCATAGAAGGTAGATGACTCTAAAACACTGGAATGATAATAAAGTCCACTCCTCCTGCTCTTTTAACCTTTTGTTTGTTTTTTTCTGGCAGTGTTTGGGAAGGGTCTACCAGACATCATGGTCTATGAGAAGAAGCTAGGACCTCGCTTGGTGCCAATGCTGGTGGAGAAGTGTGCAGAGTTCATTAAGGAGCACGGCCTGGATGAGGAAGGCATCTTCCGTCTGCCGGGCCAGGAGAACCAGGTCAAACACTTCAGAGAGGCCTTCGATGCTGGAGAGAGGCCTTCATTTCCCAGGTAACTGCTTTCCTGGTAGGCCTCACACCTGTGGTATAACGTAGCTCCAACAGCAAGCCTGGGAAGCCTTGTAGCTGCGATGTAGCATAGCTTAAGCCACCAACCCAGGAAGCCTCATAACTGTGGTGTAGCATAGTTCCAGCAGCCAACCTAGGAAGCTTCATAGCTGCAGTGTAGCGTAGCTCAGGCGGCCAGCCCAAAATGTTTTGTGGCCGCAGTGTAGCGTAGCTCAAACCACCAGTCCAGGAAGCCTCATACCTGTGGTGTAGCACAATTCCAGCAGCCAGCCCAGGGGTCTTCATAGCTGCAGTGTGGCGTAGCTCAGGTGACCAGCCTGAGAAGCCTTGTAGCTGCGGTGTAGCATAGCTCAAAATATTTAACAGCACCTCTTTTATGTGAAAAAAGTTCAGTGCATCCATGTATAAATCACTTTAGTTTCTTTTTGAATCCAAAACCCTAAAAATATCAGGTGATGCAACCGTGCAACCATATACGTCCAATGTGTCAAACACAAGGCCCACAGGCCAGCACAATCCAAACCGGCCCTCCAAGTTATTTTGATATTCTATTAATATTAGCCCATTTCACAATTAGCAGCACTACAATCCCCAGCATGCACTGAAACATAATTCGCACTGACACCCCACTCCCAACAATGTATGGGACAGCAGTTTTTTATCCAGTGTTCTTATATTGGAAACACACATTTTCATGTTGGTTTCATTTTGATGTATTGTAATTTTTCTTTGGCAGCTTTCTAGCAGGGGATGAATAAGCTAATATGTGTAAATTATCATTATTAGCAACCAAGACCATCAGCTTTCCTTCAGTTTTCATGTAGAATTTCAACGTAGAACACGTTGGTTTCTGCGAACTGTTGCAACTGCAATCATCGGGGTCCAAGCACTTTGCGCCATTCTGGGGCCAATACACAGATGATGGGCAAAGTTTATAGACTGGCCTCGATTTATAATAGATGTGGGGTCTCAAAAGAAGAGTTCTGCCAAATTTCATGCATTTTATTTGGTATAGTAAGCAGACAAAATATTTAGCAAAAAGTTAAATATCGAGAAAACTGAACAGTCTTGTCACATCTCCGTACTATAAACTCACTTGCAATCCTTAAATGGCCTGAAAATCAAGCTTCCTTACTGGTGCCGATTGTCTCTCGCTGCTGTGCTGAGATAAAATGCGTTTTGAGATGCTGCATGCTTTGTAGGGCAGAGAACAATCATTTCCTGGTTTGGAAATGAAACAGCAATTTTCAGTCCTCACCACTGTTGATGTTCTGTCATTTTAGGTGCATCAAAAGCAGGAAATAAGCACTCTCCGATTCTGTAGAGAATCACTCAGTTTCAGACATTCGAGACAAAAATGTTCTAAACTGATCTGTTTTTAACTTTATTCATATTAATTGGATTTTCATCCAAATAAGGCAAATAAGGTAGGTAGCTGTAGGCAGCCTGTATTAAATGTACAGCTCTCATTCTTGCTAACTGCAGCATGAGTGCAAAGTACAGCTGCACAATATGGACAAATTAACCAGTATTGCGATTATATTACTGCATATTATGATTACAGCTGCAAAAATGCCTTTTAAAAAGCATTGGCATGTATGCTCATATGTTATTCTTACCAAAATAATGTACTTTTGTTGAATTGAACATAGAACACCCTCAGAAACTTATCTGGAACTGTGACTGGACGACATGCTCAAGTAAGAAAAGCACTGTGATTGGTTAGAGAGCTCATTTGCATATTGCAGCCTTCTATTGCATAAACCAACATCACAGTAAAGATCAGCAAACGCTAGATCGTGCCATACAGCAGTTTGCTCTCTGCAAAACCTTGACCATGTTAAACTAAGTCCGTGTGCAGGGGTCTCTCAAACTGGAGAAACCGGTGATGTAGGTCTGTCGAAAAAAAAAGCGTTAATAGTTTTAGTAAGCAAGGTTTGTAGAGAGAGAGAGTGAGAGAATTAGTGAGACAAAAGTAATTTTTTCAGAGAAACCAGCTTCACATCAGAGATCTGCGGTTCAGCCACATCCTGTCCTGACTGAGGTGTATCCTCCATTGCTATTAAGCACACGCACTCAAACCAGCGCATACACAACCAGTAACTCACCAAACACTCAGAGTACAAAAGCTTATATGGACCATCCTGGCAGATTAGTTCAACTCTACACTCTTAAAAAAGATGCTTCTTCAAGGGTTCTTTAGAAAAGAAAGTGGTTCTATATGAACACTTATGAACACTCAAAGAACCCTCTGCATGATTAAAGGGTTCTTTACATTATAAATTGGTTCTTCAGATTGATGAAGAATGTGCTGCACTGCAAAAATAGTATCTTGTCAGGTGAAATGGTCTTAAATATAGTCGATCTGTCTAATATTTCTTATTTTGAGATGGTTGTGCACTTATTATAAGATTATCTATTTATCTTATTTCTTGAATTTTTGACTTGTTTTAGGTTATTTTATTAAGTAAATTTATCTCACTATACTGGCAGATAGTTTTGCTGGTTTCAAGCACATTTCTTAAAACAAGCAATAATAATAATCTGCCAATAAAGGGAGATAATTTTACTCAGATTACCCAAAACAAGTAAAACATGTTTGAAAATAATCTTAAATTAAGCTTACAACAATCTCAACAGGAGAAATATCAGTTTTACTGACTATATTAAAGATAATATTACTTAACAAGATACCATGTTTTTGCAGTGTGTAGATGGCTATATATGGAACCACCTTTGAAAATGGTTCTATATAGCTCCCAAAAGGGTTCTTCTATTGTTAAAATGTCAAGCTTCTAACAATAGAAGAACCTTTTTGGGTGCTACATAGAACCATTTTCAAAAAAACTTCCTATCTAGAACCATCTATAGCACATTCATGCACATTTTCCGTCAGTCTGAAGAAAAGCGTACTGAATAGGATTTGAAGTAAATTGTTGTTTACACCGATCACCTCCTTGTTTCTACGCTCATTGTCCATTTTATCAGCTCCACTTACTATATAGGTGCACTTTGTAGTTCTGCAGTTACAGACTGTAGTCCATCTGTTTCTCTGATACTTTGTTAGCCCCCCTTTACCCTGTTCTTCAGTGGTCAGGACCCCCATGGACCCTCACAGAGCAGGTACTATTTGGGTGGTGGATCATTCTCAGCACTGCAGTAACACTGACGTGGTGGTGGTGTGTTAGTGTGTGTTGCGCTGGTCTGAGTGGATCAGACACAGCAGTGCTGCTGGAGATTTTAAACACCTCGGTGTCACTGCTGGACTGAGAATAGTCCACCAACCAAAAATATCCAGCCAACAGCGTCCTGTGGGCAGCGTCCTGTGACCACTGATGAAGGACTAGAGGATGACCAACACAAACTGTGCAGCAGCAGATGAGCTATCGTCTCTGACTTTACATCTACAAGGTGGACTGACAAGGTAGGAGTGTCTAATAGAGTGGACAATGAGTGGACACAACGTAGAAACAAGGAGGTGGTCATAATGTTATGCCTGATAGGTGTATATTTAGCTTATTACTCTCAGTAGTACACATTTACTTTAACACATTGTTCTGAAGCAAATATGTCCCAATGTCTGAAAATCAGAGTGGAACATTGAGAATTGTCATTACCGAAACACATATTCTCTGCATTTAAGTAAATATTATGTTTTAATGAAAAATACGATGATTTTATGTGTGTACAGCTCTTCAAAGCTGTGTTTACTAGGCTGCATTTTAGTTCTGCTCTAACCTGATTCACATTGCCAGATTGCCTGGTTCAATTTAAGCGATTTAGACTGAACAGGTCTGGCAGTGATCATGCTTGGGTGTGGCAGTGAAATTGAACCCAACAGTCAATTGAATTTGGTTAACTGGTTGATTTAGAATTGGGAAAGGGCAAATACTTTTTTTACAGCACTGTAGTCTTTATACTACACTACCAGCCGTTCTACACACTTCGGAAGTGATCTGCACTCTTTGTTACTGGTCGGAATTTGGCTGTCTCAAAGCATTCTCCCTAAAGATCAACTGAGGGTTGATTCAAACTGAGGCTGCAAATCTTGCTTTTGCACCACCACAAATAACCGGGCCTGTCCTCATACGAACATGGATTAAATCATTTACGCAAACATTCACAAATACGTGCTGCTTCAGCCCTGTTACTTAAATATAGATACGGTTTTCAGTCTGGCTGAAAATGTGATGTTCCCTTTGCTTGCAGTGACACTGATGTCCACACGGTGGCGTCCTTACTTAAGCTGTACCTGCGGGAGCTGCCTGAACCTGTGGTGCCGTGGACTCAGTACCAGGACTTCCTGGACAGCAGCCTGATGCTGGACGCCACGACGGCGGTGGTGAGAGACATTTCACCATGTTTTCTTTCTGGCTGTGGAAGCTTTATGTAACAGTAACTGAACACTTTTCTCGGACCCTGGCAGAAACGGCCGGAGAGCACGGACTTAAAGTGCGAATCCTCGTCTAGACAAATAACCTACACGATGAAATTATTTCTTCAAGTTGAAGTACAAAAGGATAAACTTTTCAATTTAATTATTCAGCGGTTCGGATGTAAACAGAGTCATTCAGAGTGGTTTGATGTGAAATGATTCATTGTAGAGAAACTTACCGACTCTTATTTCTTCATTTTAAAAATGTTTTGGAGCAAAACCGTCTCAAAACTATCATAAAACAATGTCTCAGACATCAGGCTGTCAGGTATGCCATGTAATATCTTTCCATGAGGGAGCTTTTAGTGGTGGACATCTGGTTCCTATCACCACTGTGAACAACTCTGACACAATAAGTGTCTCTAGAGTGGAGCAATTCACACCAGACCACTCTGAATGGCTCTGCTTACATCTTAACTATTCATATTTTTTTTTAAAAATCACTGGAAGTCCCCCTTACAGTGTAAAAGTAAAAGTAGCGTAAAAAGTAAAATGAGTCAGCTCTTTCAGGTGAACATCGGAAACCACCTTGCCTTTTTTTAAGGACAAATCATTTTCCTTTTCCAGCATAACTGAGCCCCTGTGCACAAAGTGAGCTCCATATAAACATGGTTTGATAAGTTTGGTGTGGAGGAACTCCAGTGGCCACACAGAGCCCTGACCTCAACCCCACCGAACACCTTTGCAGTGAACTGGAGAGTCGACTGTAAGCCAGACCTTCACATCCAATATCAGTGTCTGACCTCGTGAATCCTCTTTTGAATGAATGGCCACAGATTCCCATAGACACACAAGTTTCCCAGAAGAGTGGAGGCTGTTATGGCCGCAAAGGGGGGCAACTCCATATTAATGCTCATGTTTTTGGAATGGGAAGTAAATGGGATTATGATCTTTGACTGTTTGTTTTAGTCTATCAGAAACTTTTATTGTTAAACTTCTTACTCTACCTTCTGATAAACAAGATAACATTATAGCAAAAACTGTTCCACTTTTGTTCCACTTTTGTGGAACAGTTTTCTGCTGGAGAGGTGGGCACAGCGGCTGTAGTTGAGCTAAAGCTTAAAGCAGAGCAAAGTAAGTCTGTGTTTTTGTTTAAATTATATTTTTTATCCTATACTAGTACATCAGCACATACTCAGACATATTTACAGCCAAGATGTTAAAATGGACATAAATTGTTGTGGCTCCCAAAGATTCGATTTCGGTTTCGGTTCGATTTTTGTTAAAAGGACAAAATGGCTCTTCTTAAAATTTGGGTTGCTGACCCCTGATCTATGCATTCCCGTAGGTAACGTTCTCCTGGCATCCGACAAACCCAGAATTGTCCATCAGACTGCCAGCTAGTAAAGCGTAATTCATCACTCCAGAGAACACGTTTCCACCGAGTCCAGTGGCGGCGTGTTGTACACCCCTCCAGCCGACACTTGGCATTGCACATAGTGATCTTAGGCTTGTGTGCTGCTGCTCGACCATAGAAACCCATTTCATAAAGCTCCTGATGCACAGTTCTTGTGCTGATGTGCAGTTCGAAACTCTATAGTGAGTGATGTAACAGAGGATAGGTGATTTGTAAGCGTACACTCTTTGAGTTTGCATGGTTTACCACTTCAAGCTGAGCTGCTGTAACTCCTAGACACTTCCATTTCACAATAATAGCACTTACAGCTGACCGCAGGAGATCTAACAGGGCAGAAATTTCACAAACTGACTTGTGGCAAAGGTGGTATCCTATGACAGTGTCACGTTTAAAATGGCTGAGTTCTTTGGTACAATGCACTCTACTGCCAGTGTTTGAGATTGCATGGCTATCTGTTTGATTTTATATACCTGTTAGCAATAAGTGTGGCAGAGGCAGTAACTCAACAGTTAAGGTAGCCTCCTTACAAAGGCACTTTTTCTAATGAACATTATTCTGATCATGAAATAATTAAGGCTACAGGGAATAGTTTGTAACACAGTTGCTCCTATCACAGCATTGGCTGGATTATTAGTGGCTTTTTATTCATTTTGCTGCATTTTGAGGCCAGTTGTGGACTAAAAGGAGAGATTGTGAATGAATGTTGGGAATTTGGTGCTTAACCACCTGCTACTATGTAGTAGAAAACAAATCTGTTCTGATATATGGCGAGTAGAAAGTGGAGAACTTGCTTTTGAAATGTGTCTTTAAATAAAAGTTAGAAAAGGTCCTTGAAAACAGGTACAAGTGTTTGAAAATCATACTTCAGTACCGTAATTAGAGTATTGTACTTCGTTACTGCCCACTACTAGTCCTCGTGAGCCCAAGCTTTGCACTTCTTCAGTATTTTTACACTCTAGAAAGCCCAAAAGGTCATGCATGATGATTTTATTTAGGTATGTGTAATTTGGGAAGACCTAAAAATGTGCAAAAAATTTTTGTCATTTTTCAGTTCTTGACATAATTTGAAAATGCATGATGCCCTTTACATTGTATGTGAATTTCATGATGAATGGACCAAAAGAAACGGCCCAAAATGACTTGGAAAAAACTCTGGTTCCATTAACTTACATTAAAAGTAAAGTATGTTTTTTCCTTCTCCTGTAAAGTTGCCATTTTGGAGATACGAGGTTTTGTTCCGACAACAGTGATATGCTGTGTGTTACAATATAATATCCAGTAAACAACAAGAAGCCATGTACTGTAATGCAGGGAGAGGGCACAACTAAACCACCAACATCAGGGGCCGAGCCAGTCAGACCCACCTCCAGACCTGCTCCATGCTCTTTATCCATCCGGTCACTGCTTAGCAAGTGTTGCTAGCTGCTTTTCAGCTCTTTTGCAGCATTTTTGGATATATTTTGGTAAGGAGATGTGCCTGGTAAGACACCCCGTACAATGACAGTGCTCAGAGTGTGGCTTTCTGCCCATCTCCAAAGCAAAAAATAAGCTTTAGATTTGTCTATGTTGTAAAACTATGTGGTTTCCAGAGACACCTATGTTTGCTGAAAGGTCATTTTCAATTCTTGCATAGTTGGTTATATGAGCTAGTTTAAATTATATTCAGTTATGTTATAACTGAAGTTTGAGGGAGGAACATGGCTGAAACCCTCCCTCTTCCAATCTAATGCCCTATAAATTCACATCCTCACCTTTCGTTCCCGTGACGATGGGTTCGCAATCCCCACCGTCACCCCATCTTCCTCCTGTTCCTCAGTCCTACATCAGTCCTACTACAGCTATGAAGAGGGTCCGGCCTTTAAACTACAGGCAGAAGCTGCCCAGAACTCCAGCCCAAGTTCTCAGAGTTCTCCCCCTCCCTCAATCAGTCTTCCCTCATACTACCACCACCATGTTGAAGGCATGGTCTACATACTGACACATATTTACAGCCAAGATGGTACAATGGACATAAAATGTTGTGGCTCCCAAAGTGGTTTGATTTTTGTCGAAAGGACAAAATGGCTCGTTTGGGTTGCGACCCCTGCTTTAGGTGATTTTCAGCTATATCAAATTCTCAGGTAAGCGCTTAGATGAGTAACGTGTTTGTTGTGATCTGTTTTCCACACAGGGGAAGGAGAAGCTGGAGAAACAGATCAGCCTGCTTCCAAAAGTCAACTACAACCTCCTCAGTTACATCTGCAGGTACAGCGTCGATGAGTTCACATCATAAATGACGTCTACAGTGAATGACGGTGAATTATATTTTGATCTGTGTTGTTGGACCTTGTTTCTGCGTTTGTGTGCAGGTTCCTCTTCGAAGTGCAGCAGCACTCAAAGGTCAACAAGATGAGTGTAGAGAACCTGGCCACGGTGATGGGGGTGAACCTGTTCAAACCACAAGTGGAGGACGCATTTAGCATGATGAAGGGTGAGCAAACAAGCTGCAAGCTGTTTATGGGTGATGGTGCATTGAGTTTCTCAGGGCAAAATCAAGTATTTGAAATACTAGTTTATTATGGGCGTCTACCTTGTACCTATAATCACTGGCCATTTTATCAGAAACACCTACCATATAGGTGCACTTTGTAGGTTTACAATTACAATTACTGCACATTATACAACAGTTTGTTCCGACCATGCAAGCTGATTGGTTGAGAAGTGTCCTCAACATGCTGTATCACTCCACTGAGACGCCGTTGCTAAGCAACGACTTTGACAGCTGTAGGAGACGCTCAAGCCATTTGAACGTTTTGACTTCTTACTTTGCCACAAACAGAAAATGGACACTTTTAAGATCACATTTGACCGACAGCCGATTTGGTCAGACTCTGAGCTAAACCTGATATTGCAGCAGTTTTATGGCTCAGTCCGATTTGGTCAGACTCTGAAGATCAGACTACACGTTTGGCGAATGGTGTTGGGTTCATTTCTGGCTGATTCCAGGTTGTTTAGCTGTTCTTCTGTCATAGCTGCCGACTGAAAAGCTGCTCAGTGGTGATGACAGTTTGGGAATTTAGTGTAAGGAGCTGGAGAACGAACTGCCGGCCGTGCAGCGAGTGGGCGGAGCTCGTTACTCTGACGTAGCAACAAGCTGCTTGTTAAGGAACTATAATTTGGTGAAGGAACTGCGAACATTAAAACATATTAAACGCCGCGTTCACGGCCCAGTTTATTAATTTATTACTTTATTTATTTAACTGTTGTATAAAAGCAATAGAACACTCGAGGTTGTGTGTTCAGCTTGTGCCTGCGACCAAATCACAGCCGTGATGTTATTTCGCGATTACGCAATCCCTCTACACTCTGTTCTATTGCTTAAAAATATGTGTAAGTGGAATGTAAGTGCACTTAATATACCTTTTCTTTTGAGGAATTTCATAAGAACTTTTATAAAGAATATTATAAAGCCTCATTGGCTGTGAGATGTTTATGGATTCTGCCCAGACTGTAGTCTCTTGTCCCACCTTCTGTGAAGCTTTTGACAAACACTTCAGACTCTTCAGTCCTTTAAATGCTGTTTGTGCTATGTGATCATTTAATTTCAGCATTATTACAGTCATATGCAAAAGTTGAAAATTCCTGGTCAAATTAACATAAAATTTAAAATGTTTCGTAGCTTTTGTCAATGTTTTTTTTCTCCAATATGTAAATTCAGTAAATCAACAGTGATTGTGCATAAAAATGTGCAGAAGTGTGTTCTGTGTAGATGATGTGTTCACTTATTTCCATTTCAGCACCTGCCATTTGACCAGGGGTGCCCAAACTTTTGCATATGACTGTACAAGCTCATGATGTTCTAAGGATAGTTTAGTAAGAGTTGTGTAAAAAAGTTATAGCACCTTCCATACAGGAAATGCAGCTTAGAATGCATATAATGTGTAACTGCTGCTATTAATCATATTAGTAATCAAATAATCTACAAATTACTTTTATAGTTAATCAAATAATGTGTTTTTTTGTGCCAAACAATAAAATGGGATTAAAAGAACAACAACAAACTATGTTCATCAAGCTCTGTTTCATAACAGAAGGAGAATTGGAAGTAGACAAATTTAGTTTAATCCTTTTAAAGACACACTATACGATTCTGGAGAACGATTGTTTGTTATTTGAATTCAACAGCAAAACAAATCCTTCAGTGCTCCTTCAGAAGTTCAGCCAAGGCGAGCAACACTTTTTTAATTTGTGGCCATAAAACCCTTCGCAAATGTTGTAAAGACAAATACCATGATACATTAGAGTGAACAACAACACAGGAAATAATCTAGCTAATGTTAGCTTACTTGTGAATTAGCAAACAGGCACTACAGTTGCTGCTGTGAAGCTAAACAGTTGTTATCACAAACATTAGCAAACAGGACTAAACAATACTGACCTGTTGGTTCTGTGAAACAGGAAAAATGTTAATGTTACCCACCTGTCAAGCAAGAAACAGAGCAACCTCCTCATCCGTTTTCATGCCTGTCAACTCTCAGTAAAGCTTAAGTCAGCGTCTTTCTCGCCAGCTTCTTGTTCAAATTTTCCCGTTCCACCTTAAAAGATGCAGCGGCTCCCAAGTGGCGCAACCGTCTAAGTGTTGGCCCTCTCATTACGAGATCGCGAGTTCGATCCCTGGTGATCCTACAGCCATCCGTAGCCGGGAGTCCAAGAGAGCACAATTGGCCTCGCTCTCTCTGGGTGGGTAGGATGGCCCCTCCTTCTCCCCCCATCACTCAGCGCGATGCTAGTCAGCGCAGGCGTCTGTTAGCTGACGTAACAGATCTGGCGGTTGGCGCTTTCCTCCGAGCGCGTTCGGCTGTCCAGTGATGTTGCGTGAGCGGCAGCTCGAAAAGAAGCGGTGGAGCTTCACAGGTCTCGGAGGAAGCCTGTGTTAGCCTTCACCCTCCTAGCGTTGATAGCATCGTGTGATTGGGGGAGTCCTAACTAGCGGGTGGAATTGGAGACGACTAAATTGGGGAGAAAATCGAGTAAAAATTAAAAGATGCAGCAGTTAAGACGACATTCAGGCGCCTCAGCTTCTTGTTTGAATTCCTGTTCCACCTTAAATGGTTGATGCACAATGTGCTATAATGCTATGTGAGCTGTCTGGGGAAGGCAAAACAACATGTGGGGAGGGCCGATGTTCTCACAGGATGGGACTTAAGGCCTCAGCATACTTCTTGCGAAATGAACCTCTCGAGGGTTGTGTGAAGCCTACAGCGCCTTCGCAAGCTTACAAGCTTGCATAATTTCTGCAGTTTCATGCTGCCTGTTGTGGATGCTCCACGTGACGCTGTGACATTTTATGATAAGTTTCATGATTACTGGACTTCAGAATGCTGCCACCATTTAAGGTGGAACGGGAAAATTCGAACAAGAAGCTGGTGAATAGAAAGCCAACTTCACCCTCGTCCTCTTGTGAACCTGTGCTTAATACTAGTTAGTATTACCGAATAACAGGCTTAGCATCTTAAATTTAGGAGATATTCATTGTTTATTTAACGAATGCACGTTTCACAGTGAAATATTGGTATATCCGCTAAAGCCGAAGCTCCTCAAAGTTGCCCACTTTTGTTTTAGGCACACCTCTTTTTTACCGACCAATCAGAGGCTTTGTCGCATAGCGTCTTCGTCCGTGGAGTTCGCCCAGCTGCCATGTGCGTGACACGGCGAACGAAGCCTCCGCGCAGCGTCTGCGGTTGTTTGTTTTCTCTGCAATTATGTCATATTTTTGCTGAAGTCAAGTCTGTTGAGGCCTTAAAGAGCACTCTCGGCCAAACAGGCTATGAAAACAAGAAACAGAAAAGCTCAGCTACACACACACAGAGGAGGCGTGGCTTCACTCTCTTCTCATTATGCCATTACACCATAATGTCTTTACATAGAAAATAGTTGTTTGCTGCTATATTAATGTTTAAAATGTCGTATATATAACTTTCAGGTCATTTTTAATGCCACCAGATCCTGCTGGTGTGGGTTTCCTCAGTGATGCAAACAAAAGCACATCCTTGTGGAATTGTAAACATGGCTTTATAATACAGTACCCTGTACCCTGCAGATTCCCTGTTTGTTGTTCAAACTGGGAAGTCACTAAGCTGATTTGTAGAGAATGTATATTTAAATCAATGAATTTTTAAAATTGAGTAATCGAGACAGACCTAATATAATAAACTGCAGGCTGTTCTTGATCCAAGTTTTTTCAGCTCACTGTCTTTTCCCTTACTTGTTTTATCTGCTTTTCAGGCTTGTATGCTTGATAATTATAAAATGATAGAGAATACTGTCTCTGTTTTTCTCTCTCTCTCTCTCTCTCTCTGTCTCACAGGGACTCCAATGATACAGAAGGTGATGACTGTTATGATTAGGCATCACGAGCTGCTCTTCCCTCCCTGTAAAGACGTTCCTCCATCTCCACCTCCAACCAAGAAGACTAAGAGTCAGAAGGCCAGCAACCCGCGCAGCTTTGTGGGCTGGGAGTCTGCAGAGGTAGAGTACCACTCCACTCACTGCCTCTACATTCCCTAGCTAGTAGTTAACGAAAAGACAAAGAGAAAGATTTCAGATGAACATCGATAATTTGGAGCCAAATGGACTTATTTGCATTTATAATCACTCCAGCTGGTTTCCTGATATGTTTAATCTGCAACGAGAAACTGTCCAACACTAAAAAGTCACAAAGCTGAAGTCAGTTTCTCGTTCAAATTTTCCCGTTCCACTGGTGCAGTAGTTACATCCTGGTGAATGAGAAGCGACTTCAGCCTCATAAAAAGTTGAACATTCAGAGACATTTTACAAGAAACTGTTTTATTTTTGCGGAGAAGTTTCCTGCCGGAGATGCGAGAAAAGCACCTATAGCTGAGCTAAAGCTTAAAGCAGAGCAAAGTAAGTTTTTGTTTATATTTTTTATCCTATACTACTACATCAGCACATACTGAGACATATTTACAGCCAAGATGGTAAAATGGACATAAAACGTTGTGGCTCACGAGGTGGTTTGATTTTTGTTGAAAGGACAAAATGGCTCTTCTTAACATTTGGGTTGCGACTCCTGAGATAGGGAGTTTATTAAGCCACAGTTTGTCGGTCTCTTCTCTTTCATAAAAATTTAGAAAAGTATCAGTCCTGCTTTTTGTTAAAACTTAAAGAAGTGAAGAGCAAATCAGACTAAAATATGTTGTGTGTGCGCTGCTGTGAGTTGCCCTGTAAAACCTGAAATAATCATGTAAAAGTCAAAAGCGTCAAGTCGAGTTTTTCGGGCAGTGTCATACGTTTTTATGTATTACCGTCACATGCACAGGCTCAGAAAGAAGGTCCAGCTCAATGTTTAGGTCTCAAATGTAAAATCATCAATATACTGATGAAGATATAATGACATAAATATACAGAAAAAATATACAGAAATATTTAAAAATAAGATGTTAATTAAGCTGTGAGTTTCTAACAAAATGTTTGTGTTCAATACAATAAAATTTTGTGTTTAGATAATGGTGTTTTAAATATTTTTTCTGCAGTATCGTTTTGGTATCAAGCATTGTAATAGTACACTAGGTATCAGTATCAAAGTCACAATTCTGTTATTACGACAACCCTAGTGCATGTCAAGTTCAGGCAAGTCAAAGTTTATTTCTATAGTGCTTTTTACAGCAGACATTGTCGCAAAGCGGTTTTACAGAAAAAAATCCAGGTCCGAGCCCCCATGAGCGTCACCTAATGGCGAAAGTGGCAAGGAAAAACTCCCTAAGAGTGAGAGCAAGAAACCTTGAGAGGAACCAAGACTCAAAAGGGAAACCCGTCCTCCTCTGGATCACACCGGATAGCAAACATACAGTTAGATCATCCCCAATCAAATTACATGATGAGTTTCTGTGTGAGAATAAGTTATCACATTCTCTACAGGGAACAAACCTACATATAGCATATGCACAATTTCTATTTGTTTGTTTAACATATCAGAAAAAATAAATCATAGAAATAATATGTTGCATAACTTTTTTTTTTCCAATATGTTCAATTCAGGAAATGAACAGTAATTGTGCCTTAAAGTGTGCAGATGTGTTCTCTGTAGAGGATGTTTAACTTATTTTTGACGGAGAAAATCAACCAAACATAATTTGACCGGGTGCCCAAACTTTTCCAGCCTTGTGACCAGAAGGTCGCTGGTTCGATCCCCTTAGCCGACAATATGTGACTGAAGTGCCCTTGAGCAAAAGCACCTAACCCCCAACTGCTCCCCGGGCGCTGCGGATAGGGCTGCCCACCGCTCCACGCAAGTGTGCTCACTGCCCCCTAGTGTGTGTATTCACTAGTGTGTATGTGGTGTTTCACTGCACTGATGGGTTAAATGCGGAGGTGAAATTTCCCCATTGTGCGACTAATAAGGGTCACTTAATCTAATGTAAACACACTCATCGTTTATAAATCACCCCACTATTAAGCTTCCTAGATTGAATGTTTGCATGATTTACAGTCAGGAAATGTGCACCTTTGCATAGTTGTTAGCAACAGTTAGCAACTGATCTTACCAGTCTTGTGGACTTTTCATAGACACCAACTGTCACCTTCTCTCTCCTCACCACTTACGTTCTCTCTTTTCTCAGTGTGAGGTGTCGTCCCTGTCCGAGTCTCCGGAGGAAGAGGAAGTGGACACACCGGAGATCGAGAGGAGGGGACAGCAGTCCTTCGATGCGGGGTCAGACGGTGCACCCATGTCTCCATCCTCTCCGTCTTCATCTCCTACTATGCCGGACGCATGGTCCGGAAGCCCCAGGAAGCGCACACAGACTCTGCCCAGCTTGGGTGGCCCCGGAGTGGGGAAAGTGTCTCGAGAGCCGGCCTGGGATCGCTGGAGCCGACTGCCGGAGAGTTTCGACGAGAAAGATGAGAAAACGTTGTCGGAGGACATCTTCAAAATCCTGGACCTGCAGAAGGTCTCGCTGTTCTCTGGAAAACAGAGCAATGAGGAGAAAAGTGGAGGTGAAGATCCAGCGCTGGAAAGGAGGGGGAGTGATGTCACAGCTAAGCAGATAAACCCTCCAGAAGCAAAGGTGGACCCCAAAGCCACACAGCAGAGTGCACCAACCCCGAGCAAGGAGGAGCAAGCAGCACCCACTGCAGCAGCGGCTTCGTCACAGAACCTTACAGCCAACCAGAAGGACGATGCAACTGACCAACAGCAACTTATCATCAGGTATTGTCTGAATTAAACAGAATTACATATGAATTAGAGGCCTGCGCAGGCAAAAAAAACCCAGAGAGACATAGAGAGAACATGCAAGCTCCACACAGAAAGGACCCTGGTCGCCTGGCTGGGGAATTGAACCCAGGCAATAATATTACACAATATTGTGACAATATTATTTAAAGCACAAAATAACATACAAAACATAATAATGGCATAGAAAAGACATCAAATAACCTTAATAATATCAACATAACGCATAAAGCGAAAACGTGAATGTGTAAGGATGTGTATGTTGTGTATGTGCATTTATACAACAGTTAGTTCTGGTCATGCAAGCTGATTGGTTGAGAAGCGTTCTAACTGTGCTGTTATTTCACCATAACATCACGTGACAGAAGAACAGCTGAACAACCTGGAATCAGCCAGAAATGAACCCAACACCATTCGCCAAACTAAACGGGCTGTAAGATGCTTTACAGACTGGCTGGAACAAAACAACATTAATACTGATCTGGCAAAAACTGACAAAACTGAGCTAAACTTGATATTGCAACATGATGTCTTTGTGTCTAATGTCTTATCTCTGCATGCAATTGATATTAATGAACTATGACATATTCATACTGAACACACTATATATGTACATATCCTGTACGTATGAGCCTTTAATGTGGACATGTGCTTTAATGTCTGTGCACTTTTGTAGATAGATAGATCATTTTATTATTTATTAAAAATTTAATCATAAAAGAAAAACAAATCCAAGGGAAATTGTCTAAAAAGGATTTTGTGTGTTTAGTCTCCAGCAGAGGAACAAGGAGTTGAGCGCGACCGTGGCGGAGCTCCAGTCAGCGCTGGAGGCCGAGCGGCGCTGTAAATCTGCTCTGGAGATCCTGTTGCGTAATGCCGAGCGCACCCGGGATGAAGCCCTGAAGCGCAACGAGCAGCTGGACCGCGACATCCAGGAATTCCTCAACAAGGCCAGAACCGGGCCACTGTAGGACTACGATAGCGCTGCCCTCAGCCAAGGCTTCCTAGCACTCCGTCGATGCCCATGTGGAGCTCCATACGGTTGGAACTGACGGACATAATATGGAATCTCTGTTGGGTTTGCTGACCGTCTTATTTCGATGGGATCAGGTTCTACATGGATGAACTGATATGAAAGCTTTAGACCGGTAATCTGTGTCGCCATAGATGAATATTGATGTGCTAGTCTAATATTTAAACATACATTAAGGACATTAATATATGAAATTATGTCATTAGATAATGAATATTGGGTCCCCTCTGCGAGGTATCTTTTATTTTTATAGAGATAATGTTTCTGAGTGCTAGGGAAACAATTATCGGCAGGTACCGATATGCGATATTTCTGTGATACAAGAGAAATAATGACACAGTGTTCTCCAACAAACCCACACATTGGGTTAGTGTGCCCTGTCTTTTTGTGCCAGTGATGAGAGACAGTATTATTGGGCTGTGACGTCATTTTAGAATTTGCTTTTAATTCACATTTTAATAAAATTTGTTTTGCTATGGCCAGGAATGGTTCCACAGGCATGGTCTCCGAGCTTCTTTCAGTTCAGTTTGACTAGCTGAATCATATCACTTATCCCTGATTCTGCCAATACCTAATACAACAGACTGTCTGGTAAATACCTATAAATAACCAAATCTACAACAAATCTCCAACCCAGGTACGTCTGGAAACGCTTGGTCAGAAGTTTCTGATAACATCATCTACTCGGTTGTACTGAATGCCTTTCTCAGAGACTTGGGTTAACATCGATGCTGTCGGTAGAAAACCTTGTATCTCCATTTTTGTCGTTTCTAAGTTTTTGACATAATTTAAAAATGCCTGTTGTCCTTTACATTACCACCCACTACTAGTCCTTGTGAGCCCAAGCTTTGCACTTTTTCAGTATTTTTACACTCTAGAAAGCCCAAAAGGTCATGAATGATGATTTTATTTAGGTATGTGTAATTTGGAAAGACCTAAAAAATGTGCAAAAAAATTTTTGTCGTTTTTCAGTTCTTGACATAATTTGAAAATGCAAGATACCCTTTACGTTGTGTGTAAATTTCATGAAGAATGGACCAAAAGAAACGGCCCAAAATGACTTGGAAAGAATTCTGGTTCCATTGACTAACATTAAAAGTAAAGTATGTTTTTTCCTTCTCCTGTAAAGTTACCGTTTTGGAGATATGAGGTTTTCTTCCGACAACAGCGATATGATGCTCCAGAACAGTTTTGAATCATGGCTTGCAGTTAGACCTTTACTTTAGGTCAGGGGTCAAAACTCAAACATTAAGAAGAGCCATTTTGTCCTTTCGACAAAAATCAAACCACCATTTTTTGTTCATTTTTATTGAAGTAACATTTTACTATCTTGGCTGTAAATATGTCTCAGTATTTGCTAATGTTCTAGTATAGACTGAAAATATAATATAAATGCCACTTTTCTCGCATTTCTGGCAGTAAAACGTCTCTCAACATTCAACTTTTTACGAGGCTGAAGTTGCTTCTTGTTCACCAGCTTCTCATTCAAATTTTCCCATCCATCTTAAATGGTGTCTGAGGCACCAGAATGTAACTGCTTCACCATTTAAGGTGGAATGGGAGAATTCAAACAAGAAGTTGGGAATTGAGAAGCTGATTTCAGCTTTGTGACTTTTTAGCATTTGACAGTTTTTTGCAGGTTAAATGTATCAGGAAACCAGCTGGAGTGATTATAAATGCAAATAAGTCCATTCGTCTCCAAATTATCGATGTTCAACTTAAATCTCTCTCTTCGTCTTTTCGTTAGCTACTAGCTTGGTCAGAATGTTGTCTGCATGGCTATGGTGACCAGCAGTCTGCGCTGATCTTCAGGGTTAAAGGGTGAATTAGCAGTTCTACATTAACTCCAGAGTTTAAGACCATTTATTGTTAAACTGTGTTGAACGATCAGCAGAGCTTTATTTTACTGTAAAGGAGGATTATTTTATTTTTACCTACAAATCTAATTCAGCTGTGGAGCCACAACAGGGCAGTAAAAGAGCTGCATGAAGCTCTGGAGCCACGTTGCAGACCCCTGCTTTAATGTCAAAACTTGGTCAAAAAAATGAGGGAAACACCTCTGTGACAATGCTAGTTTCTGCTTCGTATCTAGGGTATTTCTAGTAGTATGTTAGCACTAAGCTAATGCCTGTTTTTTAGCCAGTCTAGATTAAACACGCATATTTCACATTCCATATGCTTAATTTGAAGCTTGTAACATATATTTCAGCTTGTATGTATTAGTTTTACAGTGACCCTTTCAGTACAGAGTCCTGGCACAGAGCTGCCGCCACTGTTTTCCATTCCTAACAACTAACCGAAATCTGCTTAGATTACAGCACGTATTCCGTGATGTAACTTCCAGAAGACCTACAGTGACTTTTTTCTCATTATATTTGTCCCATTGTGAATTAGACCAGTTGATGTTGGTTACTCTAATGTGTAAGACCTTCAGTCCATCTCCTGAAGGTCTGACCAATGGCTCGTTTGGCTGTATCTCCAGAGAACAAACTTCTGACTGGATACAATGGATAGCTTTTGGTTTCCAACCAAATTTAACAATGAAATATGGGTACTGCTGCTCAAACATGATGATTCTATGAAATTCAGTTCTATTGAATAACATGTATGTTTTAGTTCCCAGAAACTATTTTCCTTCTCTGAAGGGCAGTTAAGTCCTGAGTGGTCCACTCTGCTCCAGAAAAGATCAGTTTTCATAAATTAGGGACAAATATCACACACTGAAAATGGAAACATTTTTTAATTAGTAAACTTGGGGATACTTTAGTGGTTTAGGTTGAGAAAGAAATATGAAGAACTCCTAGAGATTAGTAGAGAGACGGGCAGTGTGTAAGACTGTGGGATCGAGTCATTGTACCATTTGAAATAAACAGAGAAGATGCAGTAAAAACTTCACACTGCTGGTGGGATGTCTGAGAAAACTGGTACAAAACAGAGAAGACAGTATCCATGTTGGGAAAACAGTGTTATGGTTTTTGTTACCCGCTCAAGATCGGTACAAACTGGACCTGCTGGTACTTGAGCATGTTCTCCTCTGTCTTTGCTATCACTTTCAGCAGACGCCAACAGAAATTCCTCAGATTACTCTTCCGGGTGAGGATAAAGTCACCAAACACAATTACATCACTTATATATGCACTGGAATGTAAACAAGAATGGTATATTTATGTGTCCATTGATATTTTTAGTACTATTAATTTGTACTATGTTTGCTAAGGTGGCATGTTAGTTTTAGCATTTATGCTAGCCCTCACAAAATGAGTGTTCTTGCTCTTAATTCCACACTTGACAGCGAAAGATATGCTTGTTTTATTCTACACATGATTCTGTGTAATTGTAGACATTTAAGTGTGAGCACGGAAAGTTGAACTATATTATTTAATGTCAGGACAACTTGTGTTAAGCTAAGATACCTAGTTAACAAGATAGCTAATGTGTCTCTTCATCCTCTCAAAAGAAAAAAAAAAAGCTTTGCCTGACTTTAGGGACACTTTTTGTGGTTTAGCTTGAGAAAGAAGTATGAAGAACTTCCGGAGATTGGTAGAGAGAGAGGGAGAGTATGTGAGAGTGTGGGATCGAGTCATCCTACCATTTGGAATAAACAGAGAAGATGCAGGGAAAACATTACGTAAGAAAGGAAGAGCCTGCTGGCGGTGGGGGGGGGTGTCTGAGAACTGTCACGATGATTGAAAATTGACAGAGAAACATGAGGCCCTGAAGTATGAAGGATGTGCCTCTCAAAATCAATAGGAAAACATCCAGCGCTCTGTTGATAATCTGTGTCCATGACACAGATTCCAGATTGTTCTGGAATGTTTGCATGAGACGTTGCTGGAAGGTTCTGCGTACATATTCGGCGGCGACAGCAGACGTGGTCAGCGATAACCAACGCGACCAAGTATCAAAAGGCAAGGAGTAGTGGGAGAGAAATAAGGGAGGAATGTTGGAACTTTTGGTCACTAGGTCAGCATTCTTTTGCTCACCCTTCTGAGGGTCCGTTGCTGTGACCTTTGGCCTAATACGTCATTTCTAATCAGACGCGCATAAGGCAGCCTTCGCGTATTTGACCTCGGCCTGGACCTTTGCTTCGTTAAGTGCTGGTACATTTTCCCTAGTTCATGCTGATCTGAGATCAGTGGTGAAGCTCACTTAATCGTGGTTGATGCTAAAATTTAGGCTGAAGCTGTTCTGAAATCAGTGGGTGGCTCTCTATGCTGCAGAGAATTTGAACTACGCTGAGCATCCCAGGCGGATGGTGCCACGTTCACTATGGGGGGGCCACACTGGGGGACGTTCTGACGTGCCCTCGGCTCTGCTGCAGTTTTCCGCCGGCTGCGTGGCCTCATCAGTCCCTGAACGATTGTGATAAGTGGTTTCCAGCACTTCCGAAAAGGCTGTTTGTTTGACGTGTGAGCGCAGAACAACACTCATCACTAAAGGACTGAAGCCTCTACTCTGACAGCCAAGCACTGATAGAGCAGTACGTGTACAGCAGTTAATTGTAACTTACATTGCAATACTTTACAATAATAAGAATAATAATGAAGAAATGATTTATTCTGAACATATTTTGCTGGAATTGTAGCTGCAGATGATGACCATATGGTGAATGTAAATATTCTGCTAAACTCTTAAAAATGAAGGCTTATAAATAATTCTTGGTTTTGGATAAAAAGTTCTAGGAAAAACAATTTTAATTGGTACAGAACCTTTACATTACATGGCGTTTCTTTAAATGTGAAACTATTCTTGGTCTCACTTTATTTGGATAGTCCACTATTGTCCCCTGTAGATTATCTACAGGTGTTCAAATTGTTAACAAACTCTCTGTTGAAACTCAGTTGATTCTAAACAGTGGTGGGGTTAGGGTTAGGATTTGGACCAGGGTTAGGGCTGGGTTTAGGGTTTGGGTTGAGACTAAGGTTAGGGTTAGGAATGGGGCCATATTTAAAGTTTAAAAAAATTATGGTCAATTTAGTCGATATTTAGTTGAATGTAACTTTCAAATAAAGTGTTACCATTCTTTACCCTCTCATTTACAAGAATGATCCATTGAAATGTTCTTTAGAAAATCTAAAGTGGTTCTTAAAAAACATTTTTCTAAAGAACCCATTTTGGTTCTATTGGGCAGAAAACTGGAACTTCCGTTGGTACCAAAGGTTCAAGTTTTATGTTTTTTTATGTTACCTGCTCAAGATCGGTACCAACTGGACCCTTTGGTACTCTTCCGGCTGAGGATAAAGTCACCAAACACTATCGTATCACTAATACGGACTCCAGAATGTAAACAATAATGGTATATTGATGTGGCCATTGCTATTTTTAGTATTATTACTTTGTAAACTGTTTGCTAAGGTGCAGAGGGGAACCGTCAGGGCCCTCTATGCCCTCAGAGAGGGCCTAAGATATTCTAAAGATATTTTAAATTTGAGCGGTTCTGGTTTTATCTGATCATATTTTGACAATCAACATCTGAACAAATACAAATCTAAGCAAATGAATTTTTTAGACCTGCCAATTCAATTTGTACTGGAATTGGAAGGGTTAAATTAAAGAAGCCCCTTTGTCTCCCCCTATCAGAATTTGGCTGTATCTCATTAGTGATTGGTGATTCAGCTATAAATTTACAGAGGGCAAAGCAATAGTAATTCAGTGAGAGACCAATTTCAAATGACAGTAAAATTGACCAATCATATCGTCCCTCTAAATGGGTGGGCTTTTTTATCACTAACTTTATGACAAGTTATGCCCGCTGGGGCGGCACACAGGCTCTGGGAACAAAGTCAGCAAAAAAAGCTAGCTAGCTTGTTGGTTTGTGACGGAAACCGAGAGTAATGTTACCGCTAGTGAGGAGGACATCGCTGCGAATTTAGTATCCATACCGTTTTCTAGATTAACTTTAAGGGAAAGTTGGAGTTAATCGGTGAAGGACGACCTACACTAGAGCTTAACTTGGTGCAAAAAATGCTTTTGAGAGGCATTTCAACTACAGCAATTACACCACGATACCCCTGGATGACAGGATCGACCAAGGAGCGAAAGCTCTACTGCTGGGACTGCTTGCTGTTTGGTGCAGAGAGTGGATTTTGGGCCAGGTGGCCGAGGTTTAAGAGTCACGGTTCGCTACTGCTAAGGTGACATAAGTTAGTTCTAGCATTTATGCTAGCCTCCACATGCAGAGCCTGCTGGAGAATCTGCGGGGGCAGTTCCTCCGGACCTTCAACCTCTCGGGCCGTGGGCCTCCTATGCAGCCTGGGGCACCCCGAGTGGAGCCCCCAGAATACATGCTGGAGCTGTACAACCGATTTGCTAATGATCGCACGGCCATGCCGTCTGCCAACATTGTACGCAGCTTCAAAAATGAAGGTAATAATTTTTATTCTTCTGTTTCTTTAAGAGGTTTTATTGAAAAGGACCAGGTGTTCTAGAAATAATACCGTGACTGCTTCTGAGACTTTCCATATGTTTTCAATTTTAACATTTCTTGATGTGTCACAGAATGAGTGTTTTTGCTCATAATTCCATACCTGACAGAGAAAGATACATATGCTTTGTTTGATTCTACACATGATTCTGTGTAATTTTAGACGTTTAAGTGTCTGAGAACAGAAAATTGAACTGTTAGTTATCGTCAGCACAAGTGTTAGGCTAAGCTAGTTAGCAAGACAGCTAATGTGTCTTTACTCTATCAAGAGGAAAAAAATGACTACACGAGGCTCTGTACATGTAGACTTTTGTGTGAGTGAGCACAGTATAAGTTCATAAGTATATCGTTTCATATCAGCTCATACTTTCAGCTAACAAGCAAGATGGCTAATTAGCCAAATTAGGCTCTGGTGTTAAGCTAGTTAGCAAGATAGCTAGATAGTTTTGCTTGACTGTACATGAGTCTGTGTAAATGTAGGCTTCTTTTGTGAGTTCGCACAGCAAAAGTGCATAAGTATATCATTTCATATCAGCTAATCATTTCAGCTAACATGCAAAGTAGCTAATTAGCCAAGTTAGGCACTAAGGAGTGGCATAAAATGACCAAAAAGACAATGAAAGCTTTAATCGTGGCTATTAAGATGGTTTCAGCTGTGGAAATTGAACTAGAACAGGAACTGTAAGTTCCGTTGATCACTGCTGAGGGCAGTTCTTGTTTTGGAATGTGCAGTGAAAAAACCCTTAGAGTGCTTAGAGTGTAGATGCAGCACGAACAGCATGAACTGGACTAACATTCTCTCTGAACTGTGATATGGACTGTAATAGCCAGTGGGATCTTTAAGATAACAGACATTGTAAATGTATCCTTAATTTGAACTTTTATGGATCGTCTGTGATCCTTAATGTGAAAAAGTACCCACTGTCACAAGTACAATACTGTATAATTGTTGTTAGGGGTAACAATTATAATGGTATTGTGGTGCACAATTGTCAGTGTCAATGACAATGCATCAAGGAAATTAGGCATTGTATTAATTATGATATCAAATGTATATGCATTGTTTAAACACTAAAATTCACAACCAACATCACTCCATCATGTTTATTAGGATGCTGTGAAGCTACAATTTTCTTACCTCAAATATTGTTCAAAATATCTTTCGATTTGTGATCCCAGTATTGAGAATTAAATCAAATTGTGGGCTGAGGTTATCACTGCACCCCGCATTTCTTTTCATCCAGATAGCGACTGTGAAGTTGTCAACATCCTCAACTTTCAAGTTCTCAAGTTAAGGTAATCTTTTCAGTCACCCTTATGGGCGGCACAAAGATATACAACTGCCTACTAGAAAAGTAGATTGTTCTTAGTTGAGGCCATTGCTCCTCACACCTCATTTCATTTCAATTTCCCTGCTTTAATGAGTCATGGCCTCAGATATCTATCCCACCATACTCCAAAATATCAAGAGGGCTTAACAAGTTTGTCCAAAAGAAATGGTCAATGAAGCAGTAGCCCAACACTCGAACCACACCATTGGAAAAACAAATAAACAGTAGGCCCAAATCTTCCCTGGCTCACCCACCCAAACAAAAAAACACCCTAACAAGGAAGGGGCTTCTGGTGGTATCAGAACGATGTTTACAAAGTCCTCATTAAGGAAAGAAAGTAGATAACGGCACATACACACACACACGCACATAGACACACTGGGACACCATCAGCACTGAAATGCAGAGCTTCCCAGCTCATAGATAAGGGACAGAGAGAAAGCAAGAGATAGTGAGAGAGAGCAAGGGAGAGAGAGAGAGAGAGAGAGAGAGAGAGAGAGAGAGAGAGGAAAAAACACAAGAAAAGAAGAAAAGAGATGCCACAGTAGAGCTCAGTGAAGCCACCCTTCAAGCCAAACGTCTTCAGACATCAAACACACATCAAAAGGTGTGCGGCGGAATAAATGCCCTGAGATCTGCAGTAGGAGCACTACAAAGCCGTGACCAGTGTCCAGCTACATATAGCTAGACCAGGGCAGAGCACTTGACCCTCCACCACAACACCAGCACTCCATTCACTTCTGGACGAGAACTACCAGGAACCACCTGGATCAGCATTGAGGGATCTTTTGCAAGCTCTTCAAAATCAAACCAGACTCGGAATTAGTGTTCCTCCCTGGATCTACCAAGATTTTCCTCTTGTGTGAAGCCTCCTGCACATTGGAGAGTGCCTACAGCTGATACACGCTTCCCACACCCCTTTTGCCTCTAACCATGGCTGGCACTGGGGTTTGGAAATGTCGGTTAACAGCCACCACGCCTTTTCTCCCTTTCCTACTGCTCCTCTTGGGGCCTTTCTCCGGGGACTCCAGCCCCATCGGCTCCCCGGAGAGGCACCGTCCTGCCCCGGGGCTAGATGACGGGCATGGAGGGATGATGGACCCCTCTTTTCTGGAGCAAGACAGCGAGGTGGACATGCAGAGCCTGCTGGAGAATCTGCGGGGGCAGTTCCTCCGGACCTTCAACCTCTCGGGCCGTGGGCCACCTATGCAGCCTGGGGCACCCCGAGTGGAGCCCCCAGAATACATGCTGGAGCTGTACAACCGATTTGCTAATGATCGCACGGCCATGCCGTCTGCCAACATTGTACGCAGCTTCAAAAATGAAGGTAATATTTTTATTCTTGTTTTCTTTTGTTGAAAGGGACCAGGTGTTCTAGAAATAATACAATGACTACTTTTGACTTGTTCCATATGTTTTCAATTTTAACATCTTCTTGATGTGTCATATCTGATCAAATTGTTTTTCTTATGATTTAGAAAACAATTTTAAACTTGTCACAAGAATATGAACTCAATTACATTATTGAGTGCTTAACTTTCTGGAACTCATTCGAAGGGAACAGAAACACCTTCACAAAGCTATTAAAAATGCACAGGGCCATAGTCCACAAATGCAAACAAAAGATGTGTAAGGGACAGTTTCAAAAATCAATGTGCAAATTCTAAAATTGCAAATTGACATCTCAGTGCACTGGTTGATTATGTGAGAACTGGGGACTCATGTGTGGTTGTTGTTGTGGCTGCCTTTCACAGACTCCTCCCCATGCAATGTGGGAAGCGACGGTGTGAGGCGGCACCCCCTCCTCTTCAACGTTTCTGTCCCGCATCATGAACGAGTAACAGCTGCTGAATTGCGCCTCTACACCCTCGTCCAGACTGACCGGCACCTGTATGCTGGTGTTGACCGCAAGGTGACCATTTACGAGGTGGTGCAGCGGGACACCAACAGCAGTCAGCCAAGACGAGGGGATGTTTTTGAAGAAGGAGGAGAGGAAGAGACACAGCTAGTAGAGTTGGCCTCACGGCAGGTCTACGGCATGGACAACGGATGGGAGTCATTTGACATGACTGCTGCCGTGCACCACTGGCGCAAGTCTGACTATGGCACCACCCACAGACTGGAGGTCCACATAGCAAGTCTGAACTTGCAGTACGTGGCTGGACAGAATGAGTCAGAGGTCGAAGGTCCCACCATGAGTGGGGACATGGAAATTGACACCAGCCCAGAAGAGAGACACAAACCTCTGATGATCGTTTTCTCCAATGACCAGAGCGGTGACCACAGAGGAGACAAACAGGAGTTAAGCGAGATGATCAAGCATGAAACGACTGGCCCAGACCTAAGTGACAACCTGGGGCTGGAGCTCACAGATCTCTGGGGGGAGCTGGGGACTGCAGAAAGAGGTGAACAGAGCAAGGAGGAGGAACCAGGTGAGGAAGATCTCCTCCAGATGCGATCCAACCTCATATATGATACAGCCTCCAGGATTCGAAGGAATGCAAAGGGCAACCAGTGTAAAAAGAGCTCCCTTTACGTCGACTTCAAAGACATTGGCTGGGACTCTTGGATCTTAGAACCTCAAGGCTATGAGGCATACGAATGCACAGGAATTTGTACTTACCCCTTGACCAAACATGTCACTCCAACCAAGCATGCCATTGTGCAGACACTGGTCAGCATCAAAAGTCCAGACAAAGTCTCCAGAGCTTGCTGTGTTCCCACTAAACTTGACCCTATCTCACTGCTCTACCTGGACGATGCAGGTGTGGTCACCTACCAGTATAAATATGAGGGCATGGTGGTGGCAGAGTGTGGTTGCAGATGAGAGGGTTTGATGTGCCAAACCTTTGGGCCTGGCTAAAGACAATGAGAAATGGGGACATTTCAATGTCTTAGCTTCAGAGGAGAAAAGACTGTAAAGAAACTGTAAGTAGTTTCAAGGCAACAGGCCAAAATCAAGACAGAAGACGTCCCACAGAAAGAGAATGGTTCCTTGTCAACTTAAATCGAACTAGAACCATGACTGATCTGCAGACGCCTTTGTATATGACTCTTCAAAGCGACAGCAGAAAAGGACGAGAAGTTGGGAAACTTTTGGCAGTATAATCTAGTGTGTTGTACCACTGCACTTAGTGCTTATATTTAGATTTGCCCTTCTGTAAAAAAAATATATATATTTCATGTTCGTTTCAGGAACAGAAAAAGGGAACATGAAAAGTGAGAGACAAGAAAACAAAGTGTACAAGCCATGATAACTCTTTGACCAATCTCTGATCGAGTGGAATATGATGCAGCAGAACTTTCTCCAGACGTCGTGCAATAACTGATCAAGGACAAACCCAGCATCCCTAAAGGGGACTTAATGTTAGTTAGTGTGTTAGGAATAGATTCTATTATCTCAAAGCAAGATGATGTAAATCATCTTTGATGTATTTGCTCCTACCTGTTTGCACAAATCTACTCTTAATCCAATAGCAGCAATGGCCAACTCTGCTCCAAAAACAGTGGCTGAGGCCTTAACCATGGGTCATCTTGTCAGATACATCCCTGGTTCTTTCAAGGACATTTTAGATCTCTCTAAGTGGGTGTCTCTCAAATATGGAAGCTTGGGTTTAGAGGGCCTGTGAACTGGACACACTGTAGGGTCGTTCAAATGACCCTGGCAGAGGCAGGATGCCTGCAAAAACCGCCTAGATCCAGTCTTCTCAGTGCCATATCTGCATCCCGCCTCTGCCGTGTGTCAATATACTGTTTCCTGCTCGGCTGAATGCATTTGATATGGGCCATCCGAGGCAAAGCAACTTTGTTATCTGGGAGGTCTTTCAAGGAAAGGAAACATGTGAAACTAACCAGAATGATCTGGAGTGAGATGTTCTTTTGGACGATGAGAAAACTTTTACTTGGACATGCTATGTGCAGCGGAAAGTACCATACAAAGTTTCTGTATGCTTGTGAAAGAGGCCCACGTGCTGGATGAGAGACTGTTGAGATTCCTCAGACTGACCACAATTAAATTGTAGGAAAATTGCCTTGCCTAACACACGATTGGATTAATATGATTGGAAAACACAGCTTTAATCTATATTTCCATCCTTCTTTACCTTGTAACTGACCTTCTAGTGTGGAATTGATAAAGAAAGCAGCACTTTCGCTAGCCACTATACTATCAGGTCCCAGAGCAGAGCAGCAGGGCGGATGGAGGAAGCCACATGCTCTTTCAATTGTCCGAGGGGTGTCAGTCAGCGTCATGAGGGTGGGGGTGAATGTGAGGAAGAGGCATGAGGGTTATGGGGTTATCTTCATGCTGTTGCCTTGCATGGCGTGTGAGCTGAGCTCTCAGCCCTCGACCGGTCTGTGATAAGAAGGTGTCGGGGCTGAGAAACATGCAAGTGGCCATTCCAAGCAACTGTGGTGGGAGGTGGGAGCGAAGCCTGTCAAGATTCCAAGCTTTACTTCAACTCCCTGACCTCAATCTGGTCTCATTTACGGACACTGGTCCCCTTCCCCCCGAATTATCGAACAGAAGACAGTTGTCTGACAAAGTGTGCCCTCACCCTTAATAAACTTCTTAACAGGACAGAGAGCTCTTAAGATTCTTTAGATTACATTTTTGTTGATTCTTTTATGATGGTAATCCTTCTGGGAAGTCGCTAACAATCAATCAAAGCAAGTGGGGACAGATTAGCAGGATATTTAGCATATAACTAGCTTGTCTCTACCACCTTTTATGTGTTATTAGCTACTTAAGCATGTTGGAATCAGGGAAAAAGGGAAGATAGCTAGCTACTTACTGTGTCTATAACGGCAATGATATGGGGAATTTTTTGAAGAGACTGTTCAACCAAAAAATATGAACAAGCCATGTGATGTTAACAGGCTACCACTTGCTAGCCATGTTACCACCTTTGGTGGAATGTAGAAAAGCATTTTGTTGTCAATATGTTGAATAACCTCGATTGGGACCTTAATCATGTCTCCGCAACACATCACATCACCACAACAGATGCCAAGACTGTCAAAACAAAGGTCTCCGCAAACCTATCTACATCATGAAGCTCATGAAATATGGCTTTTGTACTGCTGCTTTAAGACCAATGCTTATTTATTGATTAATTTATTAATTTTATTGTCTGTTAAATCGTTTTGTATAGCAATATATGTAAATAAATACATTATACACATAAATTACTTTATACCTTATAATGAAAGACATGTGGATGTGCTTTGTCAAAGTTAGAGATGTTCTGTTTTGCGCCTCTAATGCTTGTAAAACGCTTCAATGTCAGGAAACAATATGTTAGCAGCTTTGATAAATTGCTTTAGAGCAGCCAAATTCTTACATGTTTGAACAGATGCTGTGACATTTGTGCAGATCCTGTGCAGATCATCTACACCCCACCACCCCCCGCCAACCCCACCGCTAAAACCCACCCACATTGGCTACTCCAAAACACCGGATATTTTTAGATGTGACACTCCTTATTTAAACACTAGAGCTGTTCATTTAAACACAGCGTGGAGGGGGAGCGATTCATAACTTTTAACTTTCCATTGAGAACAGCGGTTAACTGGTCCAGGGCCATAGTTCAGACACGTGTCAGAAAGATCCTAAGCCATGGGAAACTGACTGGAAGCTAATGACCACATTCAGCGATCTGCACAAAAGTCCCACGCAGCTGCCTCCATAAAAAATTGGCCTGCCTTGAAAAAATGTTCACTCGTTTGTGGATTTTGGGACTTTTAGCGTGCTTTGCTAATAGATGTTGAACTAGTGATGTATTTGCATTGTATCAACTGTCATGATTGTAAATAAACTGTGAGAAGAAGTGCTGTTGGTAGTGTCTTTATGAAGGCAGAAAAACTGAAAAAACTGATCCGTTGCCTTTGGCAACAGCTTGAACTTTCGCAAATATTTAAAGGGATCACATATCATCAGCTGGTTCTCAATCCAAAAGAAAATGAGCTTTCTATGTAAATATGGTCACTTTTCGTATGTTTTCATTTAATTTTTAATTAAATTGTTTTTTTGCATTTAAGTTTAATAAAGGCTGCAGGGCTTAAAAAGACAGTTAAAATATTAGGCACAGCTCCAAAAGTCAGTATGAACATTTACACAGTCGACCTAAGAGTAAATAACACTTTTCTCTTATGATTCTCTGATTTTTCTTTGTTATCCTGTTTCATAGTCGCTCTGCATCTGTAAAACAGCTCATCACAAAAACTATTCAACATTTGAGAAAACATTTTTAATATAAAACAATATTTTTAAGAGGTTTAACATAGGAATTTGTATAAAACATATTCATGTTTACTTTTTATGTCATTAACGTTTTACTACATTTAAATATATGTATTTTATTTAAAATAATTCATTTGTCACAGAGATTTTGGTCACTGGTGTGATCAGGACTCTTATTCTACATTTTAACACAGCATTTTCAGCTCTATTAAACTGCTTCTTTGGGTCAAGGCTCATCAGAGAGGAAGCATCTCAAGGCATGAGAAGGCGTGTCACACTCGCTCACTGTATTTCATTAATTTATTAATAATTCTGTTTATCATCAAGCAGCGCATAACTTCTATGTGTCACCAGTGTTATGAGCTTTCATGGCTGGGTAATTAAAGTTTTGTCAAAATAATGCCAAATATATCATTTTATTACTGATTTTAAATAGTTGTACAAGGTCAGCTGATCAGCCAATGAGTCAGCCAATTTACAGAATCCTCAGTTTTACCCAGAATGTCACTGGAGTCACCGTCACTGGTGTTACACCATATTCATACAACACCAGTGACTAATGTTAATGTCTTGAACGATCAGAACCCTTGAAAAAGTATCCACCTGAATTCCCATTCCAAATGGAGAATGACCCATATTGGCCAACTGTCCACAAAAAGAACGCCAGGGCAAAGTATGAACACTTTTCATGAAGGGGGTCTAAAGGGGCACTCCAGTCAAACACTAGCATTTAATATGTTATTTTTTCATGTTACGTATTCTGCAGCACTGCACCTTACAGTTCTGTCAATCAATTTAACAGCATTCACAGTTTTACGTTGTTTTCATCCATCAGTGTTCTCTCACTGCAATACCCAGCATGCATTACACAAATACAACCACTGGGAACCCCTGTGGTGCCAACCAATCTTGACTCCTAGCTACTGATCTAGAGGTAACAAATATGTGGTGCTAGATAGCATTAGCACATAGAACTACCTTCATCAACTGGCTGTCAAAAATGTATCATCACTAATTATGATACATAACTAATTGTGTAGCTTTGTCATTATTCTAGTCATCTGTCTTACAGTTAGGAAGCCTCAGCTATGCTAACAAACAAACGTGATACCTGTGTAGTGACGTTTTGACATACCACTCGACCCTTGTGGCTCAGTTTGGAAGCAAACTAGTACTACAAAGCAGGACGTTATGCAGATGATGTAGATCCAATTTTAAATAAGGTCCATCGATATTTGTTTATGTAGCTTTTCAATATTTGAAGCTTTTTTTTTTTTGAAGATTTTGGGCATGTATTTACAGAGATGAGATTAGTGACGGTTGAGGTCCGTTGTTTGTTAGCAACATTAGCCTAGCATCTCCCATTGTAAGCTTAAGAAGCATCCATCAGATATCAAAGATGTCTTGGCTGATCACCTGCGTCTGGTGGTTTTAGTGATAAATCATGTTAATTAGATTTTTTTTGCCAAACTATTCCTTTAAATGTACATCTTTGATGCTTTGCACCAAAGCTTGGGCCACACAACTGTCTCTATGGCAACAGATTCAGCAAAAACACAGCCTTTTGGCACCAAGCGTTTGATTTACAGTGTGCCTACATCCCTCTCACTCTTAGCCACTTGTCAGCACCTAAAGAGAATCCCTTATAAAGAAGCAGGTTGGGCTGCTTGGAGCATTGGAAGGTTTTCAGATCATTACGTTACATGGGCAATAAATATTGCTGGACACAATACAGATACAGATACAGCTCCAGCGAATAACAAGCTTTTTTAAGTGGCCTCCACATAGCCTCCCCTTACAGGACCTTTGATCAGTATGTCTGCCCCAGCCTGTGATCTAAGAAACTAGGGCAATTTACTTTACATTGTTTCTTGATCACTGCAAACCTATCCAAACCACTGAACCCCAGACATGAGGTTTGTAATAAATGAACTTCCGGATGGATGAACTATGATCCATAAAACCCACCAGGGCTTTCAGTGTTTACCGCAATGAGTATGAGGACAGCAAAACAAGTCCTTTCTAATTTGTGGTACAAAGTAATGTAGCATGACCAGAGCTCCAGGCATCCTTTGATTGTGCCCTGACTGGCTGTGGTCACTTCATGCATCGCTTAAGATTAGCATTTTGTTTAAGTTTGTTTTTATTTTAAACACGCCTACGCCAACCTCAAACACCCAGAGGTGCGTCACACCTATGTTACACAAGTGGCCACATGTGGCAGGAGGGAAGAAAGCGACATTGTCATGCTCCACTCTTTTTTTCTGTTTGTGCCTCTGTACTTTCTGTCTTCCCAGCATCGGACATTCTGTTCCAGTTACTCCATCATCCAGCCCGTGTGTTCTGCTCATCCCCACTCGCTTCAGTCCAAACTCCAGTCCGTGCCCCAGTTCACTGCTTGCTCTGCAGGTAAGAACAAAGAAGGCCTCCTCGGCTCCATCAATAGTTTCGGCTCACTCGTGTTGATTTGCTCGTTTCCAGCTTAATTAATCTGTAACTGTTTGGGCTTCTGACTCTGCTTTGTTTTTTGACATTGTTTTAGCCTCCCAGCGGTCAGCAACGCATGGCTCTGGAACCGTATGCGGCTCTTTTACTGCCCTTTTGTGGTTCCACAGCACAATTAGATTTTTAGGTAACAATAAGATAAAGCTGTGCTGATCTTTCTAACACAGTTTTAACAATAAATGGTCTTAAACTCTGGAGTTAATGTATAAGTGCTGATTCACCCTTTAACCCTGAAAGTTGGCGCGCAGACTGCTGGTCACCACAGCAACGCAGATAACAATCTCGCCTAGCTAGTAGCTAACGAAAAGACAAAGTGAAAGTTTTAAGACGAACATCGATGATTTATAGATAAATGGACTTACTTGTGTTTATAATCACTCCAGCTGGTTTCCTGATACGTTTAATCTGCAACGAGGAACTGTCAAACACTAAAAAGTCACAAGGCTGAAGTCGTTTCTTATTCTCCAGCTTCTTTTAAATGGTGCAGCAGTTACATTCTGTCACCTCAGGCTCCACTTAAGATGGAACAGGAAAATTCGAACAAGAAGCTGGCGAATGAGAAACGACTTCAGCCTGATAAAGTGTTAAGAAACATTTTACAAGAAACTGTTCTACTTTTGCGGAAAGGTTTCCTGCCGGAGATGCGAGAAAAGCAGCTATAGCTGAGCTAAAGCTTAAAGCAGAGCAAAGAAAGTCTGTGTTTTCATTTATATTTTTTTAACCTACACTAGTACATTAGCGCATACTGAGACATATTTACAGCCAAGATGGTGAAATGTTACTTCAATAAAATGGATGTGCAATGTTGTTGCTTCCAAGGTGGTTTGATTTTTGTTAAAACTCAACAAAATGGCTCTTCTTATTATTTGGGTTCCCGACCCTGGGCCTAGTCCTGTTAAACCTGTTAGTTTCTTCTGTATTTTGTATCGAGTTTACTTTTTTGTACTTTTTGTAAATAGTTTCACCAGGTGTAGATTCTGGCTGCCATTTTATGTGTGTTTTGTGTCGTAGGTCAGGCGATAAAAGCATGGTGCGAATGCAAATGTGTGCTTTGTGAATGTGTGTGGTTAATGTGTAATAATGAAACAAAACATTAAAACGTTCTTACTAAAGTACAGTTAATTTATATCATATACAACAGATTAAGAGGTTTGCTGTTACTATTTGTTATTACTATCCTATTTGATATTTTATGTTCATACAACTCAGCTATTCAAGAGAATTTCTAGCGAGTAGAACTGACCCTCAGTAATCTCTTCTGGGTTTGTCAGACGCTCCCGGGCTAGTCTAAAATGACTGGGTTTCTATGGAGCAGTGCAAGATCATAGTTTGGAAACAATTTTTTAAACAAATATTTTACAACACTGCTGTTGTATTTTTGAATGCTTTGCTGTGCCAATGACCTTATCAGCTCACCAACCATTCAGCACTGAGTAGCAGAATAAACACTGCATTCGGTAGCAGTAATGCTAACCAATCAGCATTCAGTAGCAGTAATGCTAACCAATCAGCTCTCAGTAGCAGTAATGCAAACCATCAGCACTCAGTAATGGTAATGATAACTAGTCAGCACTCAGTAGCAGTAATACCAACCAATCAGCACTCAGTAGCAGTAATGCCAACCAATCAGCACTCAGTAGCAGTAATGCCAACCAATCAGCACTCAGTAGCAGTAATGCTAACCAATCAGCACTCAGTAACAGTAATGCTAACCAATCAGCACTCAGTAACAGTAATACCAACCAATCAGCACTCAGTAGCAGTAATGCCAACCAATCAGCACTCAGTAGCAGTAATAATAACCAATCAGCACTTAGTAGCAGTAATGCAAACCAATCAGCACTCAGTAGTAGTAATGCTAAACAATCAGCATTCAGTAGCAGTAATGATAACCAATCAGCACTCAGTAGTAGCAATGCCAACCAATCAGCATTCAGTAGCAGTAATGCCAACCAATCAGCACTCAGTAGTAGCAATGCCAACCAATCAGCATTCAGTAGCAGTAATGCTAGCCAATCAGCACTCAGTAGTAGCAATGCCAACCAATCAGCACTCAGTAGCAGTAATGCTAA